TCAGGTCGAAGGGGTGGCTACGGGTACCCGCATGGGCCCCAATTATGGCTGCCTGGTTTTAGGGTACATGGAACATGGTGCTGCTTCTCTCTGTCATCCGGAACTTTGCTTCCAATTTCCACTCCGCTCTCACCTTCACTTGGTCCATCTCTGATTCCTTCCTTCACTTCCTTGACATCTCTGCTTCCATTTCTGGGGATAGCCGGGCCACCAATATCCTTTACAAGCCAACCGACGCCCTCAGCTGCCTTGAATATACAGCCTCACATCTTCCTTTCTGTAAAGACTCTATTCCATTCTCCCGGTTCCAACGTCTCTGCTGTGTCTGTTCCAATGTTGCCAACTTTGACAAAGGGACCTCCGAAATGTCCACTTTCTTCCTCAACCAAGGATTCCCCATCACCATATTTGACAGGGTCCTCAGCCAGGTCCGACCCATCTCCCACACTTCTGCCCTCACTCCGTCTCCTCCCTCCCACAACAATGATAGGGTCCCCCTTGTCCTCACCTATGATCACACTGACATCCACATCCAGAGGATTATTAGCTACCATTTCCGCCACCTCCAGCAGGATGCCATCACCAGACACATATTCATCTCCCCTCCCTTGTCAGCCTTTTGCAAAGACTATTCCTCTGGGATATCCTGGTCCACTCATCCTTCACTGCCAACAGCTTCCCATAGCCCCATGGTACCATTCTCTGCAGTCACAGCAAATGTAACACCTGCCTGTTTGCTTGCTCCCTCCTCAGTAGCCAAGGGACCAAACACACCTTTCAGGAGAAGCAGCATTTTACTTGGACTTCATTCAATCTAGTGTACATCATTTGTTGCTGACAATGTGGTCTACTCTACATTGGGAAATGAAGCATAGACTGACTGATCACTTTGCAGACCACTTATATTCTGTCCACAAAAAAGACCCTGAGCTTCCCGTTGCCTGCCACTTCATCTCACCACCTTGTTTGCTGGCTAACATCTCTGTCTCAGGTTTGCTGCAATGCTCCAGTGAAGTTCAACAGAAGCTAGAAGAACAGCACCTGATTTTTCTTTTCAGAACTCTACAGCCTCCTGGACTCAATATCAAGTTCAACTATTTTAGGGCCAGAGCTACCTTCTCCCACGTCCTGACCCCAAACCCTACACACTACGCCTTGTTATCACATGGTCTGCGACTACACATTTACCCATTGTTGGCCACTAACCGTCTCCATCAGAGGCTATTCATTCTTCTGGGCTAATCGTTATCCATTCCTTTGCCTATCCAACTGTTCTTCTCTTTCTTTGGACTCTATCTCTACCTATCATTTACTCCTACCTCCTTGCCCCACCCTATCTTCTGCATAAAAACCAACCTTTTCCTAGATACCATCAGTTCTGAAGAAGTGTAACTGGACCCGAAACGTTAACTCTGATTTCTCTCCACAGATGCTGCTAGACCTGCTGAGATTTTCTGGCAATTTCTGTTGTCGTTTGATTTCTAGCATCCATAGTTTTTTTTTAAATTTTTAACCTAATTGTTATTAACTTTCCTGAATACTGCTTTTCAAAAGAAAATAAGTTGGCTTCTAACCTCACCATTAGTCTTTTCAACTAAAAACTTGTCCTGGTCTGATTTTTTAAAAAAGTGCTTATCTTTGATTCTTCTAAACTGAAAACAAAGTTAGGGGCCTTATATGTTTGTGACAGATCTACTTGTCATAACATGAACACTAGGTCGTCTGCTGTCTGACAAATACTGGATTAGGTCAGAGTTTGGAAGGACTCTCTGATCTTATCTTTTTCAAAGAAAACTCTTTACAAAAGTAACCAATACCCATATGTCACTATTTTAAAATCTATTTTAAAATGATATTAATATATCAAAATTGTACACTTTCCATCACAAAGGAAAAGCATAAAGGTAATTGATTCTATATTTAATTTGTATTGTCAAAATGTTATTGGTTAATGGTACATTGTGGAGGTTATTGCTATTGGCTGATATTGAGTGACATAGCCAAAGGGATGTTGACACGTTGTAAAAGGATGGTGGTGCTGTCATGGAGGAAATGTTCCATTGAATTGAAATAAGGCCTCATTATGCAGTACTTCCTGTTCCACCCAATTTCTTTTGGTATATGTGTCCTTGTCCTCCTGAAATGGCCTAGAGATCTCAGGAGGTGGTGGCTAAACCTTCATTGAGGAAGTAGCACACTACCACAAACATAGAGGGTGAATTTTATCACAAAAAATAGCTAAGTGTTCATTTTGACAAGTTTCATGGACAGTTTCTCTCTGACCTCATGAAATTTCTCTTGCTATTCTCTAAAACTCACTTCTAGTCATGTACCAGGTCAATACTGTCAGTCTGGAGTTGCCCTTCACAATGCACATAATAGGAGTAGGACAGAATGCAAACGCTTCTCAGTGTCCATACTTGACACTTCATTACAAATACAAGTGGCACATTCATAAATCTATTGCTACTTAAGAAAGGAGCTACACAGCTTACCTGTCCTTAGCCCTGTCTAAGGGAGTGCTACTCTTTCCCAATGCCAGGTGTAGCCTAACATCTGCTCATTGTTTAATGGAACCATCACACACTGGAAAGCCTTCAAATGGTTGAAAACTGTCACTTCCATTAAGCAATAGCCAAAGTGAAGAATAAACAAACAGAAGCTGCATCTGCCTCTGGGAACAGACACAGAATGCTTGCGTTTCGAGGAACAAGAAGTTTAAAGTCAATGAATGATCATTGCACCAAGCTCTCATCTGTTGGAACTAGGTGTCAATTAAATCCTGTCTGGCCTGTTGCGTTTGATGCTGCAGTGCTCTTTTGTGCAGAAAGTGAGGTTCCTCCTACTTAATGTCCTCATCTTCATTCTTGAAAGACTGCTGCTGCTCTCCCAGGTTTCGAGAATCCATTACATGCCCTCATTGCCTACACTAGTTGTGCAGAGCATGGCGGGCTAGGATTACGTAGCACCCTCCATCTGGAGGGTACTACAAAGCCCACCATACCCATCCTAGCACTGGAACTTCTTCTTTAGAAAAATTATCATGTGCTCCACAAAGTAAGAGTGAGCAGCATTGTATCTCCCTCAGCCTCAATCAATGTTTTGTGTAATGGAGTCATCAGCCATGGTTGTAGCAGGAACCCTTGCTTTCAAGTAACCATCTATATAAGGCATCGGCCCTTGAGATGAACCAGGAACATGGGTGTTCTCAAGAATATGTACATGATGGTGCTCTTGGGGTACCTCGCACAGATTTCTAAGAGGTGGTACCAATGATCACAGATGACTTGCACTTTGATAAAATGTGCAATTTGGTGTTCTCAATGCGCCCATAGCACCCCGCACCTGGACAACCAACAGTTTGGCAAAGCCTGCTCACAGGCTACAGCACTTTTAAAATTCATTCTTGAACTGCTGCAGTCCTTGTCCATAATGAGACCCATAATGTCATTAGGGAGTGGATCCCAGGATTTTGACCTGAAGAAGTAACAATATATTTCAAAGTCATGATGGTGTGTGGCTTGGTAGTTTCCCATGTTTGTGCTGCCCTTCTTCTAGATATAAATCATCCTGGGTTTGAAAGGTGCTGGGGAGTGTTGGGGAATTTCTGCAATGCATCTTGCAGACACTACTGCTACTGAGCATTGGTGGAGAGAGTGGATGTTTGTTGATGAGGTGCCAATCAAGCAGGCTGTTTTGTTCTGGATGGTGTAAAGCTTTTTAAGTGTTGTACTGACCTTATTGTGGGGAAATGAGATGAAACAGCATGATCCAATACACATTGCATCAGTAACCACTTTAATACATTTATGCACTGAGGTTTGTGACAACAGCTCCTTGGAATTTGCCAGTTGCATGAATAGTTAGTGCAAAGAACAGATAGCCACCTACTCCTTCATACCATAGGTCCCCTCTATCAGTTGGCATAGTCCTGTGCAGTGTCTCAGGACATTGTCAGTCTGCAGCCTTGCTCATCTCATGGAAGTAATCATATTGAGGATGGTAGATTCTGGTCTTCTGGTACCTCCTACACATCCTGAGGGGACCTTCAGTGGTGACCTCTTTGTAGGAAGGATCGTTGGCATCCACTGGAGGTTGCTGTTGGTACTGGGCTTGCTAGCACATCTGTTGGGGACTCAGTTACTCTGAAGCATTGTTCCACTGCAACAGCAGGAATGGTAACCCCTGCTGTGGGTGGATCCATTGGTCACATTTCTAATGAACCTGTGGGGAGAAAATAAGAAACAGAACAAGTCCTTTGGTAATGTGAGCAGCTGTCGTTCGCATCACTCGCAAATTTAGTACAGTACTCTGTACAATGGGAAATGAAGGACTCAGACAAGGAGAGCCATGGTATATCTCCCCATGGACCTTTGACATAGGGACTGACATAGGAGATTGTAAGTGCTATATGAGCACACATAAATGCTTTTGTATTCAGTACTTTAGTCGCCTAACACCATTTGACACAAGTGGGAACAGACTCCAATTACTACAGTCACAAGTCTGAGTAGAGCAGATGATTAAATTTCACATTCATGTTGTTTATAAAATCTTTTGGTCAAAGTGATAGAATATTTAGCATATTATTAGAATAGTGAAGATGTCTGCTGTTTATTAAGCATATCTACTGAAGTGTCTGGACCAAAGCACGGTGGCTCAGTGGTTAGCACTGCTGCCTCATAGCACCAGGGACCTGGGTTCAATGCTACCCTTGGGCGACTGTCTGTGTGGAGTTTGCACATTCTTCCTGTGTCAGTGCGGGTTTCTTCTGGGTGCTCCAGTTTCCTCCCACAGTCCAAAGATGTGTAAGCTAGGTGGATTGGCCATGCTAAATTGCCCATAGTGTTCAGGGATGTGTAGATTAGGTGGGTTATGATGATCTGAGGGGCAGTGTGGACTTGTTGGGCTGAAGGGCATGTTTCCACACTAGGGATTCTGTGATCAAAAAAAAAGTCCCTGCAAAGTGTTTCACGAACTTGTTGTATTTCTTATCTTAGGTGAACTTGGAGACACAGGTGATCATGGTTCTCAAGGTGTTGGCCTCCCTGGATTTATAGGAGCACAAGGCTCAAGAGGTATGGTGTATTGTAGGTAAGTTCATATACATTTTACTAATGACTGTATGCTTCCTAAATTTATTATTGTTGTACTCCATGTAGGTGAGCGTGGAAAGTCTGGATTAGGCATACCTGGACAACCAGGACAACGTGGACCACGAGGTCATATAGGGCAAAGAGGCTTAAGAGGACATCAAGGATACAGGGGACCTCCAGGTGTGTGTATTGCAACAGGATGTGAGTGGAATAGAATTTCCAGTGCCCCAGTTCTTAACACTGAAAATCAAAGCCCTCAGCCACAACACATTCAGCTACCACAGAATTTCATTGATCAGGAAGAGTATGTGTAAATAACAAGAATATATTTAGAAGCAATTAAACAAATTTATTTAAATATTTTAGTATCAATCCTATTTTCAAATACATGCTAAAATGTAGATTTTAAGCTGAAATGACAGGAATTCTGCAATACAATAGTAAAGCTGTGATTGTAACCAGCCTGAAATAATAAATTTTTAACAACCATTCCTACATCAGTTATCTTTCATTCTTTCAGTGTTTCTATGTGGTGGTTTCTATTTTTAGAAAGCACAATGTACGTGACTTCCAAAAGTTTTTTGACGTTATAATTTCACATAAAGTCAGTGGCAAAAAGGAATACATCAAAACTCTCAAATTTTAAAAGCCAGTTTTGCAATTGATAGAGCCAGTCCTTAATACTGCTGTCAACAAAAATATGAAAAAAAATCACCAATGTCTTAACCTTAGTGTGCAAGAGGGAAAAAAACACAGGATAAGAGATGTGAACTAAATTTTGTTGATAGTGGTACTGCATTTGCAGGAGTTAAATTTAGCATAAATTTAATTTGTAAATAAGAGGCTACAGGTGTCACTTTGAATAGTCCCATCTTTGAGCAGGAGTTCCAGTTCAGAATCAACATTCAAAGAAATTTTAAACAGCAGAACGCCTGCAAAGTTTGAATGCTTATCATCTATTTCTTCCAGCACTATACATGCCATCTCACCTCCAAAATGGTCTTTTTGTGTGCATGCATGCATTGATGCTGTCACGTTAGCAGCAGTTAACACTGCCCCCCACCCCCCATACTAGCTGCTGATGTTATTTTAAAGTGATCATCAACTCCTACCTAAGGATATAAAAATGTGGAAATTAGGAGCAGGACTGGGCCATTAAGCCCATCAAATCTCATTCACCATTTAATTAGGTCAGAAGTCACAAGACACCAGGTTATAGTCCAACAGGTTTATTTGAAATCGCAAGCTTTCGGAGTGCTGCTTCTTAGCATGGCTGAATGATTGTGGACTCACATCCCTGCATACACTACTTTCCAGTAAGAGAATGCTGCAAAGTAATGATACTCTGAGAGGTAGTTATTTCTGTCTCAGCCTTCTACTTACGCCCCATAAGGTTAAACATAATGGGAAGATCCATCCTGTCATGTTGGTGAGGTCTCTCTGGAGTACTATGTCCAGTTCTGGTTGCCATGTTATAGGAAGGGTATTATTAAACTAGAGAGGGTTCAGAAGAGATTTACCAGGATGTTGTCGGGAATGGAAGGTTTGAGTTATAAAGAAAGGCTGGATAGGCTGGGATGAGTCGGGCAAGTCAGAATACAGAAAAGAGATCGAGGGCTTGGTGACATGGTGCAATGAAAACAACCTCTGTGTCATTGTCAGCAAAACTAAAGAACTGATCACTGACTTCAGAAAGAAGGGAAGAGAACATGCTCCCATCTATAATAACAATGCTGAGGTCGAGAGGTTGGAGAGTGTCAAGTTCCTAGGAGTGACGATAACTGACAACCTGTCCTGGACTTCCCATGCAGATGTGACAGTAAAGAAGCCACAACGAGGCCTCTTCTTCCTCAGGTGACTCAGGAAATTTTGCATGTCCACAAGGTCACTCACCAACTTTTACAAGTGCACCATTGAAAGCATGCTGTCCGGGTGCATAATGACCTGGTATAGCAACTGTTCTACCCAGGACCATAAGAAACTACAGAAGTTTGTGTGCACAGCCCAGACCGTTATGGAAGTCAACCTTCCATCCATTTACATGCCTCTTGCTGCGGAAAGGCTACCAACATCATCAAAGACCCATCACATCCCAGCAATGTTCTCCTACAACCCCTTCCATCAGGCAGAAGATACAGAAGCTTGAACACATGAACCAGCAGGTTCAAGAGCAGCTTCTTCCCTACCGTTATTAGACTGAGGAATGGACTCTCTAACTTCAAATAATGCTGATCTTGCTAATGTTGATTTTGCCTAGCGTACGCCCAATGAGATGTAACTTGTATGCCTCTGTCTAGTTTCTTTTTTCACCCTATAATCTGTATGTGCTTGCTTATTGTGATCTGCCTGTCCTGCCTGTAAACAAAGCTTTTCACTGTACTTACGTACACGTGACAATAAATCAATCAAACCTCAAAAATCAAACTTTTTTCATTGGAATGTAAGAGGTTGAGAGATGACATTATAGATGTTTATAAAATCATGAATGGTATAGATACTGTACTATAGAGTTCTGCAGTGATTCTCCATTTACATTGTATATTTTAAAAATTCTTCTGGCCAAAATTGAGAAGTTCCCATTTTCCCACATTATACTCTCCACAGGAACCATCACTCTGACCAGTACTCAGAATGAAATATAAGTAAATGATCACTAAATAATGGAGAATAGGGTGCACTCCAGGGATTCCTGTATGATCTGCCATTTCTAATAAAACATCTGTTGGTCATCAATTTCCTTTCTCCCTTCAAATTCTTAAGCTGTGGAGTGACCACATCTATTCATCTCTGCTTTCTGGAGGTGAGTAAAGGCCCGGAGCCCTGCTATTTACCTCACCCCTAGATATTCCAGTGCAGATGATTGCTGTCTACTTCCTGGAATACTTCACATTTTCACACTGGCCTGAAGCTTTATGAAGCTTCATGAAGCCACAATGGTCTTTTAGAAGTCACCCTTACCCTCTATGCCATGGATACTTTCTATGTGGCACAGGCAATTTCAGCAATGTATATCAGTTTGATATGCATAGATATATGAGGGAAGGCATAGAGGTACAGCAAGGAAGTGAAGATTCCTTCCTCTTCTCTCAGAAGAGAAATCATAAGGGTGAAAGTCCACTTGGAATTCACAATGATAACAGGATTCTCAATCTCGTAGGCTACTGACTGTACGTAGAAAACTCTGGGGGACCTTCTTGTCAATTAGGAGCCATATTACAACAGCCAGGGCTAAAACTCTTTCAACATACAAATTGATACGTGACCACATCAAGAAATAGTCTCAGTGGATGTCCACTGTTCTGACAGCACCCATATCCCATTTTATTTTACTCTCAAAAGGTCCATTTTATGGTATGCCAGTCTGCAATGTGAACCTTGTTTCAGCTTCCACAGTGCTCCACAAGGTGGCTTCTCCATGATTAGGACTACTCCCTCCATATACGGTTCATGATCCCCTTCATCTATCTAGCCATGTGACATCAGGGAGCCTTCAGTGAAAAGCATAGAGATAGTTGTAACACTGTCAAGCAGGTCAGAAACAGATTCCACAACAATTTTGTTGTTTAGAGTGCCTGGGTGAACTCTGAAGTACATGCCCAAGAAGGTGCAGATGTTTGTGGTTGTGTGTTGCATCCTCCACAACACAGCAATTCTGAGGACTCAGCCGCTACCACCTGGTATCTGAAAGCTACCTTGGATGAAGGAGAAGAACACATCCACAGCATACAATCGAACAGATTGACAGAGACTGCATAGTGATACTTCACTTGAATTTAAGATGAATTTCAGAGAGAAAGGATTTGCAAAGATCAACTTTGCTCAGATCAACAAAGGAGCTATTTAGGGCCATGTTAAATCCTGAACATTTTGTAGGTGCACTTAATGTTATGAGTTACACACATTATTTCAAACTGGCAAATGCTGATTGTTAATCACGAACTGGCAGTCAAAAAGTGGAACAACCCAGTATCTGCCCTGAGATAACACGGTGTAGAGCTGGATGAACACAGTAGGCCAAGCAGCATCAGAGGAGCAGGAAGGCTGACATCTCGGGCCTAGGCCCTTCTTCCTGCTCC